GTAATAGTTAATTAGTAACAATTTATTAGTAACAATTAATTAGTAACAATTAATTAGTAACAATTAATTAGTAACAATTAATTAGTAACAATTAATTAGTAACAATTAATTAGAAATAGTTAATTAATAATAATTTGTTTATTAATTAAGACGGTATTAGTAATAATTGTTTGCCAACAATAATAATATGAAGTTATAATTAACCAATAGTGCCAACGTTAATTATAGTACTACTGATAAAATAAATTTTTTCTCCTATGGTAATTAGTGAATAATTACAAAATTAAAAATTACAATATATATATATATATATATATATATGTATTTGTATGTATGTATGTATGTAGGAATGGAAATACTAAAATTAGTGTATGTGGCTGAAATTGTTGAGAATTTTTTATTAGCAAATTTATATTGTTAACAATGAAATTATCATGATTGTAAAATACATATACAGAAATTTATCTGCATTTGAAATTTGATTGGTCGTTATATTGTGAATTGTCCAGAAATAATCCAAGATCATTGATCCTTCACAAAGTTAAGTGCTATTGTGTCATATATGTATACAGGAGCATGATCAACATAAGTTAGAAAACACAATAGATAACATATTTCAGTTAGCACTCTCGATTTTAATGCGTGGGCAAAACAGCTCGAGCCTGACCTAAACGGATGCACAATACCGAGACGCATGCAATGACGGGGAATGCGACCCACAAACATTGCGACTCCTACTTTCAATTATATGTATATATATATATATACAACGTAATCCACGATGATTATCAAGGTCATTGATGACTGAGATCGTCACGAGACGACCTTCGTCTATCTTCTTCTCCCATAAAGCTCAAATTAAATTAATTATTTTTTTTTAATTAAAACTGATTTTTCAACCAATTAATTATTTAGGTAATTAAAAAATGTATTTTTTTAATAAATAATAAATAAATTATTATAAATGAAAATAATTATTTTTTTGCAGAAATTAAATTTGTAAATATATGAAATTTGGAAAATAACACTGAGAAAATTGTTTGGTCAGAGCAACCGAAATTTGGTTGGGCCAACAAAAGGAAATTTTGTTGGTATTTAAGCAACCAAACTATTTGAGTCAACTAAAAAAATTTGGTTAAGTGTTTTTTGTTAGCATAACAGAAATGTTTAATTAGCTCAACCAAATTTTTTTGTTAGGTCAACAAAAATATTTGGTTGATCAAATCAACTGTTTTTTTTTGTAAAATTAAAAATTTTATTCCACCTTATTTCTTTTCATTTTATCTTTTTATTTATTTTATTATTTATTTATTATCAATTTAACGTTTAATTTATATTTATCCAATTGAAATATTTGTGGACTTTAAAAAATCTCATCTCCTGGGATCGAACCTCTGTTTTTAGACTGCGAGTCAGGAGCTCTGACCACTGGACTACCCATCATTGTGAGAGATTTAAACTAATTGTTCTAAGGTACGAGAGCGAATTAAATTATTTGGTTGTCGTAACCAAATTTTCGTTAGGACAACAAATGATCATTTGATTTTTTTGACTAAACTATTTTGTTGTTGTAATTAAATTTTCGTTGGAATTTAAAAATGTTCTACCAAATAATTTTGTTGGCCTAACCAAATGTTTGGTTGAGACAACTCTATGACTTTGTTTCAGTCAACAAAAATTTGTTTACAGGAACCAAAATTGCCTTTAAAATTTTAAAGAAAACAAAAAAGGATTCAAATTTCAATTGCAATTTTTTTTTTTACAAAATTAAAAAAAATTAATTATTTAAAAAAATTTAATTGATTAAATTGCAATATTTCAATTATGATATAAAAATTCAAAGTTTTATATTATTTTCAAAAACTGGAAATTTTTATATATTAGGGATTTTTGAAAATACCACGTCTTTTCAAGATTTTTTCCTTGGTTCACTATATATATATGAAACCTTATATACTTGTTTTTTTCCACGCTTCCTCTCTCTATATATAGATTTCAATTCAACATTTATTTTCTTTGTAGCCGGAATTTCACATGTCTTTTCTATTAAATCTTTTTTATTTTTCCTTTTTCGCAAAGATACTTTAAAGAACGATGTTTCCAAGGATGATAGAGTCTTTCCAAGTTAAAGCTTCAATTCCCTTTTTTTTCATTGATATACCTTCTTATTGCCAATTGGTAATTCATGTTTTTTCCACGTTTTTTTTTTTTATAGATTTCAATTTTACAGTTTTCTTCTTTTTAAATAAAGCAAAAATTTCACATATTCGAAATTTCTTTTTTTTTTTCTCTCATTTCTATTTGGAAAGAAATCTTTAGATACTGATATTTCTGTGTGGTTAATGGTGTCCTCGCTTTGATATATATTTTTTTCCAACTTCTTTTTTTCTGATATACTCTTTATTTAAAATTTGATGCAAGTCAAATATATATTTCTTGTGCTCAACTATTTGGATGCGATGAAAAAGAAAATATTTTTCTCAGTTTTTCACAATTCAGCAACGTTTAAAAATATGGTAAAATATGGTTTTGAATCCTTTTTACGGTATTTTGGTTTGCATGTATCATTTTCAAAAAAAAAAACATTTATAGTTTATTTTTGAAAATCCTTTTATTTTAAAAAAAAAAATTTTGAGAACCTTAAATTTTTTAGTCTAATTTAATAGAAGAAGAAAGAAAAAAAAGAGAAGAAAATTTTTAGGAAAATTTTTATTCATTAAAAACAACTGAACTATGAAAAAATATTGAATCCTTCATTCTAGAAAAGGTAAGAACACGTTTACAATCATGTGTATCGATTCCTACGCATTTTATTTAATGTACATTATATATGAACTTCCTTGAAATATTATGCAATTTACTAACAATATTTTTTACGGATAATGCTGTAATCCATTTTTTTCTTAAATTATTAAATCTAATCTTATAGATCGAAATTTTCATTAAAAAAATTTAATAAAATTTTTTTGGATTGTCTTATATAATTTAAGAGCGTTTTTTACTACTATAATTATAAAAAATAGATTTTTTTTTTAAAACATATAAATTTAAAACTAGATTTTTGAAATTTTAATTTTTTCCACCATATTGGATCCGCCATTTTGGATTTTGTAAATCTGACTTCAAATTCGTAATCAGCGACCCCAAAAACCCCTAGACACTAAGTTTTATAAAAATTTCTCAATTTTTAAAAAATTCGACCGCCATATTGGATTCGACATTTTGGATTTTGAAAATTTGACTTCAAATTTGTAAACAGCGACCCCAAAAACCCCTAGATATCAAGATTAAAGTAAATCCGTTAATATTTATAAATTTTTTTCTCTCACACAAAATCCACCATGTTTTTTGAGGTTATGAAAAAATTCCTGACGACTTCAGATTCATAATCAGCAAATCTAAAACCATATAATACACCTGATCTTGTTAAAGAATCTTTTCATCAATTTTTTTTTATGGTTCTGTTCAATGTTAGTTTTTGAAAATCCAAAATGGCGTATCCAATATGGCGACAAAAAAGATATTAAACTATCTAGATTTGCTTGAAACTTGATACTCGGGGGTTTTTGAGGTCGCTGATTATGAATCCGATATCAGTTTTTGAAAATCCAATATGGCGTATCCAATATGGCGACCAAAAATTATAAAAATTCACCAGACTTTACTAAAACTTAATACACGAGGATTTTTGTGTCACTGTATCCGAATTTTATGTCAGATTTAACAATTTCAAAACTGTGATTACAATTTTAGGTATTGGAACAATTTTGCGATAAATGAAAATTTTAACAATTAAGAAATAATTAAAAAAGCCATAATGTCTTTTATGTTATTAATTAAAAAGAATCTATAAAGAAAACGTCAGAGGAAAATTGATTAATTATCTTATTCATTAATTGTATTGATATACGCATCAATAACTTTTTAAAAAAATATTTATTTAATTATTTGATTTTAAATCAAGTTTTTAATTATCAGTAATAATATTTGTATATAATTTTCATTTTATAATAACGAACCTTCAGACTGTGAAATATTCATTGTTTCTTTGAGGTTATGTCATCTCTTACATTTGAATATATTTAAATATATTAAAATAATTTTTCCATCATTATTTGCAGAGCGTTAAATATATTTAAAAAAAAAAACTTAAATTTTTGACAACCAATTTATTTATATATATTATGTTTATTTTATATTTATTTTATATTATATTTACTATTTTATCAAAATAATGATTTTTTTCTCTAATCCTCATATGAATTGTAGTCAAAGTAAAAATATATTTAATGTAATAATAATAACAATAAAAAAAAAAAATTTCATAATTAGAAAAATTTATCAATAGCGTATTCGTTTATAAATGAAAGTCCTTGAAAAATTTATTGTTATAGAATAAATAAATTAAAATTCTTAAAAACTAGAGCGGGACATAATAAAAAATAATTAACAAACTATTCGTATATGAAAATAATGAAAGAAACAATAAAACTGATCAAAATTGCCTCTTCGTAATGGAATGAAAGTAATTAGTTTCCATTGAACCTGTTTATGGATCCGTGTATATGCGAAGGTTTCTTTCACTTATTGTTGTTAATTTGTCATTGAGAAGGCAAAAAAAAAAAGAAAAATAAGTATAGAGATTCCAGAGTATGATCCCGGCTGTGTTGTTAGTTAATCTGAATGTAACAAGACATACAGTGACCCGGCTACAATGACCAGGTAGGACGGGCCTTACGACTGATTGTGAGGCGTTCGCGCATTATATTATTCAAGAGTGACACTAACCCATGCAAGCATTCGACCTAAAAGCGATAAGCCTACAAAGAATAATAAGAGTGGTAGCACACGTATGTAAGTTAGAGTAAGAGAGAAAGAGAGAATGTTTGGCGTGCCCAGCCCCACCCAAAGGGGTGTAAGGAGGTAGTAATAGTAGTAGTAGTAGTAGTAGTAGTAATACATTGAACACCTAAGGAAAATCGAGTATAAAAGCTGTGACAAACATTCAGTAAGACAGCACAACGTCCTCATCAATTCAACTATCAACAATTAATACACAAAAAGTAAAATTTTCATCATGAATTTTGCTGCTTGTTTGCTGTTAGCCACCCTTGCAGTGGCCACTGCAGCTCCATCTGGTCTTTGGGCTGGACATGGAGTTGCTCTTGGTGGTCCAGTATTGGGACCATCGGCTCTTGCTGGACCAGTTCTTGGACCAACTGCTCAAGCTGGACCACAAGTTGGACCGGCAAAAATCTCTGGTGCTGTTGATGGTGGTGCTGTGGTCACTGGTTCCGTTCAAGGACCATCAGTTGTATCAGGCAGTGTCACTGGTGGAACCGCTGTCACTGGCTGGGGTGGTCCATGGGCTGATGGTGCTTGGGGTGCTGGACATTGGGGAGCAGGAAACTGGGGAGCTAATCCCTGGGGTAAGTATTTTTCACTTCATCATCTTCCAAATCATCTAATAACAAAATTATTCAGTAATACAATGAGTCCTATTGAGGACTCATCAGAAAAATTCTGCTGATTCTGATTTGGAAAATTAGGATAAATAATATACTGGAGAATTTACATTGATCTTTAAATACTAAACCTTTTTGCAATACGTTAAATTTTGTACTACCAAAGATATCTTCTTTCTATGCAAAGAATGTAAATTCTTTATAACACTGATTGATACTTCTGAAACTTAGGGCCAGTTTCATTAACTTCGATTAAGAGTTAATCAGTTATTAAATCCCTAACTGATTAACTTTTAATCAGAGTTGGTGAAACTGACCCAAATCTAATAAGATTTGTTTAATCAAAATTAGTCAAAAATTATTAAATTCCCAATCCTACCAAGATCTTTAATTTTAAAAATCCTTCTAAATTAAAGTCCCTGTCAGCATTTGGATGTTTGATATATTCAACGGACGTCTTACTGATATCATTTGATGTGAGGAAATTAAGATAGTCCTAAAATTTCCCTAATTTCCTTGGACCAAATGATATGCCTATGAAATCCGTAGGACATTCCGAATATCCAGATGCTGTTAGGAATTAAGTCAAATTAATTCTAGAACACCAATTGTTAAATTATAAATTAAATCCTTAATTACATATTAAACACCTAATTAGAAATTAAATCCCTGTTTAGGAATTAAATTCATAATTAACAATTAAAGTTCTAATTTTTCCGAACGAAATAATATGCTTATGTAATCCAGAGGACATTCCGAATATCCAGATGCTGTTAGGAATTAAGTCAAATTAATGCTAGAATATCAATTAATAAATTAGAAATTAAATCCTTAATTACAAATTAGATCCCTAATTAGAAATTAAATCTCTGTTTAGGAATTAAATTCCTAATTAATAATTAAAATCCTAATTTCCCCGGACCAAATAGTAAACTCAAAATGTCCATAGCTCATTTTGACTATCTAAATGCTGTTAGAAATAAATTAAGTTTTGCCAACAATTAAGTGACCGAATTACAAAAAGTAAAATCTAATCATCACTATCAATTTCTTCCACTATGAAAATTCTAATAAATCCCATTAAATTATTTCACAAGTATTTTTGAATTAATAAAATTTGATTGTTCCACATTAAAAGGTGTTGGTCATGGAGGAGCTTGGGGAGCAGTTGTTGCTGGACCAGTAGCTGGACATGCATCTCTTGCTGGACCAATTGGAGGACCAGTTGTTGTTGCTGGACCATCGGGACACATTGCTGCTGGACACGCTGGAACTGGAGTTGTTCATCGTTTAGGAGGACATTGGTAAAACTTCTACCAACCCTTCACCGAAAATCCCGACTGAGCTTTTCGACTATCGCGCGACCTCATGATTTATCCCTCGACAATGCCATGATCTCCATTCGTTTACCGCTATAGTACCTCTCTCCCGACGCAAAAAAAAGAAAAATTATAAATGCGTTTTAATTTTGTGTACATAACAAAAGGTTCATCAGTATACATATTTTATAATAAAGAGCATATACAACTTGTAATTATAATCGTTTAATTCCATTCGAAACCCTTATTGGTCAGTGTATTTTATTTATCAATTCGAAATAATTAAGTGGATTCATTGAGGAATACGCTTCATATGTATTTAAAATAGTTCGCTCTCTTTCTCTCTCTCTCTCTCTCTCTCTCTATCTCTATACGCATGCAATTTCTCTTTGAATAATATATAAACATGTTTGTTGAATTATAAACAGGCTTATTTTGAAATGATATGAACATATGACACTTCATAAATATTTCTGAATGAAGTTAATAACTATGTTTAGAGTTTTGCGACATAAATTAACAATATAAGAAAATCACATATTGTTAATTAAAAACAGTGTTGAATAGTAAATCATAAAGTCAGTAAGCTAATAAAACAGAACGTAACAATATGTTTATTGCAACAGAAGAAAATGAAACTGATTGATTTTATCATTTATTTTGAATTTTAGTCATTTTATTTTTTTTTAAAGAGACAACAGATAAATTGAATTAACTTGTTGAATAAATATATATAAAGTTAATAAAATTTAAATTTAAATTAAAAAAGCATTGAAATAATGAAGATTGTGAATTAGTATTTTGTCAAAAGAAAAAATTCTACAGTCCTGTCTCTAGGAAGATTTACACCTCTTGTAAGACACACCTTAATAATTTCATCATTTATTTTGAATTATTCCATTATGAACAATAAAAATTGTGGTGACAATAATTGTGATTGGAAATTTTTATTTAGATTTCCTTTTGCAATCATCGTTCCATTAATTTTATTATGTCAAATAATTCAACTATTAATACTTCAATTTCTTACGTTATTAGATCAATGATATAATATTAAAGAAATAATCATTTTAAATAATTCAAGATTCCTTTTGGAGTTCGACAAAGATACTTGTAAATAATATGTCGCGTTGCTTAACGTAGGAAAATGACTAGCCTACAATAGTTCAAAAGTGCAATAATGTTATCTTCTTGGTTTAGGAAATCATTGAGGCGCAGAACTTTCTGTCATTCTAAACATGACAATAAGTGTGGGAAAGTCGTCACTTGTCCCTTTTGTTCAAAATCAACACTAGTCTTTATCACAATAGAAATTTGACTAAGTTTCCGGTGCATTAAAAAGAAAGTAAATTCACTCTGTAGCATAAACAACAATTCGAGGAAAAAAATTAATGCAAATATATTTTTTAAAAATTAAGAACAAAGAACGAAATCAATTAATATTATACAAACAGATTTCAATACAACAAGTTTATAACAGTGACAACACAGGGAGTGTATAACGCAGTAAAAGTGCATCAAAAACAAAAGACTTCTGTTCCGCTGTAGTAAGAAAATTTGGGTCAGACGCCGGTAACATCATCCAAGTAACGCGGTCTTCCTGGAAGACATAAAATTAGCAGCACAAAAGGACAATAAATTCCTTAATGCAGGAAAATCAAACGGATACCCAACGGTTATAAATAAAGGATTTTAAAAAGTGAATAAAGGATATTGTTCAAGGTTATTTTAAAACCTAATTAGATTAAAGGATTTGTAATAATTATTATTTATCAAATTATTATTTTTCTTTATTAAATTAGATAAAAACAAAGATAAATCTAAAATTAAAAAGAAAAATTAGAGTTTTATGGATATTTTTGATGAAACTCAAATAGAAGTAACTGATGTTAAAGAAAAAGATGATTGTGAATTAAATGAAGAAGATAGAGAAATTCAAGATAAAACTGAAAGAGATTTTGATAATTTCATGCGCGAATTAGGTGTAGGTGTTAAAAAAAATAAAAAAAGGTTTAGCAACTGTAGCAACTCAACAAAAAGAAAATTATAATAATTGCACAAAAGAAAGATCTAAAATTAAAGAAAAAATTGATCAAAATAAACGCGAAATAGCAGAATTAATGATTAAATTAAATGACAGAGTAGACAAAAGTATAAATATAAACAAAAGAGTTTGCGAGATAGATTTTCCTTTACTTATTTGCGCGAATTAGAATATTATATACATCTTAATGATATAACTGATATCGAATTTAAATATTCAATTCAATCAAGTTTAGAGAGCATATCTAAAGAATGATGGAATTTAGTCAAAGCAGAGAAAGATGATTATTTAAATTTTAAAGAAAAATTTTTCAATCGTTTCTGTAATGAAGAAATTCGTTTTAAAAACAATTTGGTAATTATAATCCAAATCGTCAATTAACAAGATCGGCATACGCGATAAAAATAATAAATAAAGCCAAAGATTTAATTCCACTACCTTCAGAAAATGAAATTATTATGAAAATTTCTGTATACATTTTACAGAAGACATTCAAATTGCTATTATTGTTAAATGTATTAAAGATTTAAATAATTAATTAGATTTGATCAAGCGTGTCCAGTCAATTCACAAGGAAATTTTTTTAATCGTAATATGCTGGAAATTTTCAAAATAATTCAAGAAATAACTCTGATTAATAGTCAACGAGGCTATCAAAACAAACAAAACAATTATTAAGGAAATCAAAATAAAAATAGGTACAATCCGAATTCACAACTTAATTTTAATTAACTAAGTTAAATCAAGGATTACATTAGGGAATATCATAGGTTTATAGAAATTAGTTGTTCTTGTGCAAAAGCAATCGTGCTTTGCACAAGATGCATGTAAAACATTCATTTATTCATCAACAATTAACGACATTTTAATAATTGTCAAATGATAAAATAGTAAATTTTACTAATTTGTATTTACATCAAATTAGTAAAGTAAATTTAATCTGAAATTAATTAAGGTAATCGACTCATTGATTGGATGAGATTCTGTTTCTTGAAGGTTCAATGGCAGCGTTCCTGACCTGTATTGGGAGATCTATTGTGCCAACTATGCCAGTACAATATACAATACCTACGACGCCAGTGGTAATTGAAGGAAATTGCTTCAACGCTCCTCCAATCAGTATACTATTCTATTGGTGTCGTGATATCAACGCGTTTCCTTCCTCTTATCCAAACATCCATGGTGTACTCTGACCGAACCCTTATTTATGACTCCATTACTGTTGAAGAATTATTTAACAGAAATTATTAGTTTGCATTGAAATTAATAAATTAATTCCACTTTAAATAAATATTATTCTGTAAGTATAATACGAAAGTTATATTAATTTTTTAAACAGAATTTGACTTCAATATAAAAATTTAGAATCTTCTAGAACTGTGGAAGTATTTAATTCTTAGAATTAATTTTTTAATTAAAAATAGAGCAATTTAAAAAAACAATTCCGTTAATTCTAAGTTATATTTATATTCATTTCCAAACATGCAGCATAATGATTCACTGTCGAGGTCAAAAGTTTATAACATTCAAAAAATGTTCTTTTTTTTAATTTAAAAAAAATTAACGCAAGTTTCCAGCAGATGCTTCGCGCTAATGAATTTCTCATTCAAGAAACGTGCACTTTAATCTTACATCCTGGTTCTACGAATGAATGTACATATATGCTCCTGGAGCACACTTGTTATAATATATTGTAGAAGTCTACACATATGCATGCATGAACTTAGAGGGTGAATGTTGGTGTTAGACACTGATGACAACGCATTTTCCATGAACCACGTACCGCGTGAGCTCCTGTTCTAGAACTGCTTTCTAATTGTTTCACTGCCAAGAACGATGTTAATCACTTCTACTTTTTATAACAGTTCTTGCATACTCCATTAATTCAATATCTATTAATACATTTAGTGGCTTCTATTATTCTTAAAGTAAGGCGCGTATTATTTAATTCAAGTTATCCTAAATAGTAATTAGATAAAAATGAAATAATATCTTTTTTTTAATACTTTTAGAAAACGCCTGTTTGGTTCTATTATTTTTGTTAAATCTTTATCATATTTTACTATAGAATTAAGAGTTTTATTAACAGTTGGCATATCGAAAATAAATTGCAATTTATCAAAATATTAGATAATTGTAAAAAATTATCATTAAAGGGAATACAGATCGAAAAAGACGATTGTAAATATCGCTCCTGCTTTTCTCATCAGTAGTTTTAGGCAATAATTATTAAATTATATAATATTTGTAATATACTATAAGGAAGGATTTGAAATGGGGAGGAGAGAAGGGGAGAGAAATTCCTTCACCAATATTAAATTAGAAAATTAATTGATAAGCTATTTGGCATACTTACCATAATGGTGTCTATACGTGATACCATGAAGAAATTTATTTTTTTTGCATTGTATTAACGTTATTTAATTTAATATCCACTTTTAAATAATCAAAGAATTTAACTGACGCTCCAGTTATAAATTGAAAACACCATAAAAAATAATCCGATAGAGATTTAAAAATATATTGGAAATTATTCTGAAGCACGTTAAATCCAGTGAAAGAAATAATTTTAAAACAAAACATAGATTTCAATAACAAAAAATACAAAACTCAAACCATTCAAAATAAATATTATTTTTAATGCCAATTTTTGTGTTATAAACGTTTAGAGGAGAAACTACTTTTTTTAAAAACTGTAATAACTTTTATAATATTATTCATTTCATACGTTATATACGATAAATTAAAAAAGCTATCACTCTTTTATGACTCAAGAGTATATACGTTACGTTATATAATGATCTATTTATGAAATTGGCATTTTAAAAACAAATCGCTATTGGTGAAAGATGCCCCACAAATGGGGCGTCTTACACCACCTGTGGCGTATCTTCCAAAAACTCGCAAAATGTTAAAAAAAAATTTGACTCGATATAACTATCATTAAAACTTCTGTTTTCAAGTGTACTTACGATTATAATTACGTTTATTGCAATCGAAAACACATCGAAAGAACAGCAAACATTTTTCGAAAAATAGACAGGACCAAATTCACAGAAAAAAAGGTCGGTAAAAAGTTGTAAAGATACAGGATAAAAGTCGTTACGATACAGGGTAAAGGATAAATTTGTGATGGATAAAAATGTTACTAAAATATTACTAGAAAAATGG